GTGAAATACTTAAGCTTAAAAAGGTATTAACTGCAGTTAAAATTCAAATTAGGAAAGCTTACAATGCAATTGTACAAAATAAAACAGTTAGAGAAGACATTAGTAGTGATGAAGTCACAGTGCGGTTGTCTTCATTACGGACATATTGGAACAGATTCGAAAATGCTCAATCTGAACTCGAATCATTAGTTGATGAAGAAGATATTGAGCAATTAGCAACTAGCAGAAGTGAAATTGAAGAGCTGTACATTACAACCGAAGTGGTGTTAAGAAACAAACTGCAATCCCCAACCACAGTTACGAATCAGTCTTCAGTAGGTCTAGACCCTTCTGTTACATCAAATATTGCTTTTGCTCCGTTCGATGAAGGAGAATCATTTACAAACTTCGTTAAAAGATTTGAAAACTTTATTTCCTTGAAGGAAATTTCTGATGATAAAACCAAACTTTGCACATTACTTGCAGTTCTTCCACCAAAACTACATGAACAGCTTCAAGACCTTGTTTCTCCAGATGATCCATACAAGATGAATTACAAAAATGTCGTAACAGTGTTGAAGGATTATTTGGAACCGTTACCTAGTGTTATATCTCTTCAACACAAATTTTTGTGCCATGTTCAGCAAGACGAATCAACGATGGATTTTTCAATGGAACTGAAGAGACTAGCAAAGGATTGTCGTTTTCAATGTGAATGTGGGAAATCGGTATCAGACATGTTACTAAGAATGCAGTTTGTTAGAGGACTTAAAGATAATGATGTAAGAGGGCAGTTACTACAGAAAGAAACATAATCCAGTAAATTTGTATTTAAATTTACTCATAGCGAGAAAGTTTTGGGGTAGTTTTGATTTTTTCCAGTTCTTATGTATTTTGGGATGCTGAATCCGAATCTGAGGTTTGCCAACAAAAATTCTTGACGCAACATTGACAAAAATGAGAAAAATATGGAAAAAATGATATTTTTTGTAATATTTGGCTTATAACTCAGAAACTATCAACTTTTCGTAAATAGTCTATATTATAAAAATTAAAGTACACAAAATTTGCTACAAAATGTACCCCTAATGCGGTAATCTCCGATGAACCGTTTAGGCTCCAGAGCTATTTGAAAATTGGAACATTTTGTGTTAGTTTTTAAATTTCTCAAATTATTCTGTCAATAACATATATTCATTGTACATGCCCAGGCAAAGGTCTTATATAAATCCAAAGTGTTAAAATTGATTAATTTGGTGTTACTGAACCGCTGATATTTTATTAGGTGTACAGAAAAGTTACACGAACTGATGCCGTTTAAATTATCCTCGCTCAGAGAGTTGTAATGAGGCAGGTTCTGCAAACGGTTCTCTGCATCATTTGTGAGCGTTCTAGCTTGTTCATCTGGACAATAAAAAAGGTTAAAAGTAACAAAAATTGTTCTACACATAATAATAAGTAATATCAAAATTAAAATAACAGCAATCTGTTAATCATGTAATATACGTATGCACCTGATGACGTGTTATTAAAATATACGGAAATATTCAAATGCTATGTAGGCATATACTGTTGCTAAGCATTTACAGTTAGAGTTTACATTTACACTACATTCTGGATGAATGAATGGAGGTGAAAAAAATTAGTATCGGAATATTAAAAAAAGGTTAAAAGTAAAAAAAAAAATTGATCTACACATAATCTTACTAATATTATAAATGTGAAAGTTTGTGTGTTTGTTTGTTTGTTTGAAGTTCAATCACGCATAAACCACTGGACGGATTGGGCTGAAATTTGGCATGATGATAGCTGTCATTCCCGATTAACATATAGGCATATTCTTATCTCAAAAATCCTTTCGGGCTCCGCCCCAGTGGCTCTGTAGTTCCCCATGTTAACCTTATGAGTATTCATATTTAAAGAGAATTAAAGGTACAGTGCAACATTATTCTACACAACATTACACAGTCAGCTGTTTCAACTAAAAAAAGTTGGTTCTATGATATGCAAAAGCATTAAAAAGTTATAAGATTTGCCAACAGGGTGCAGCACTATATTTTTTGCATTTATGAAAACAGCCAATTTGAACTAAGCAGCAACAAAAAACTATGATACACAATGCGAAGTAACTGTCAAAGTAGGATTGTTTTCAGTTATGATGTTTGAATTTCATGAATAATTTGTGATATTTTGCGAATCTTTGATAATTTATTTTTTTTTTCAATTGTTTAGGTGAAGTAGTAGAACCATTATGGCTATGGTAGATGTGTAATACTACAGAATATTGTAAATTTAAAGAAGCAAATTTTATCAAACTGTGTCCTCCCTCATTGCAAACGCAAAGCTTGAGTATAACTGCAATAAGCATTTTATACTATATGCCAACCCCGTACGAAGGACGGGTACTCTGCTAGTAATAAGTAATATCAAAATTGATGCATGGCTTGGTAGAGTGATTGGCACTGTTACCATAGGCCGATACTAATTTTTTTCACCCCCATTCATTCATCCCGAATGTAAATGTAAACTCTAACTGTAAATGCTTAGCAACAGTATATGCCTACATAGCATTTTATTATTTCCGTATATTTTAATAACACGTCATCAGGTGCATACGTATATTACATGATTAACAGATTGCTGTTATTTTAATTTTGATATTACTTATTATTATCTGTAGAACAATTTTTGTTACTTTTAACCTTTTTTATTGTCCAGATGAACAAGCTAGAACGCTCACAAATGATGCATCGACACGTTTGCAGAACCTGCCTCATTACAACCCTCTAAGCGAGGATAATTTAAACGGCAACAGTTCGTGTAACTTTTCTGTACACCTAATAAAATATCAGCGGTTCAGTAACACAAAATTAATCAATTTTAATACTTTGGATTTATATAAGACCTTTGCCTGGGCATATACAAGGAATGTATGTCATTGACAGAATAATTTGAGAAATTTAAAAACTAACACAAAATGTTCCAATTTTCAAATAGCTCTGGAGCTTAAACGGTTTATCGGAGATTACCACATTAGGGGTACATTTTGTAGCAAATTTTGTGTACTTTAATTTTTATAATATAGACTATTTACGAAAAGTTGATAGTTTCTGAGTTATAAGCCAAATATTACAAAAAATATCATTTTTTCCATATTTTTCTCATTTTTGTCAATGTTGCGTCAAGAATTTTTGTTGGCAAACCTCAGATTCGGATTCAGCACCCCAAAATACATAAGAACTGGAAAAAATCAAAACTACCCCAAAACTTTCCTGGTAAAAACACTAATTAACTGAATTAACAAGTACTTTCAAAGAATCAGTGCAAGCTGCAATTTCCTTCGAATCCTCAAGACTTGAGAGCAGCATTATATCAAATCCTAAAACAGCTTCTGTTCTTAAGCTAACAGGAGTTACTGAAAGAAAGATGCCGGAACAACAACAATATGGAAGCAAAGGCCCAACCAAGAAGACCGAAAGATATCATACAGTTCGCTCTACATTTGACCAACTACGTGGACGGTGCTATCGATGCGGGGATAAATTCCATAAAGCTGACAGTTGCAGGTATAAGGATGAATTCTGCAATTCTTGTAATAAGGTTGGTCACTTAGCCAGGGTCTGCATGGCAAAGAACAGAGCTAGGCATATCAACCAGATCGAGGACAATGCACGGCTTTTCAAAACTATTTGAAAGAAAATGGAATTTGTCACAGAACATGCGCACCATTTCACCCTTCTAGCAATGGACAAGCAGAAAGATTCGTACAAACCGTGAAGAAGGGGCTAAATTCAATGGTGGGGGAGAGAGGTGACATACAAACAAAGATCTATGCATTAGTAACACAGCTGAGGAAGGCACCAAGCTCTACAACTGGAATGTCTGCATACCAGACACACTGACCAGATCCTCCCTCAGAATTAAGAGGGGAGAGTTGATATATTCAATCTAGTGTCAATTAATAATATTCTATTTTCCTATATTTTAATACCAGCTGACTGGTTAATTATTTATTGTTTTCTGTTGTGAGTCAGTTGTACAATTTAATGTTTTTGTTTTCAGTGTTTGTACATTTTACAATGTTCAAATATATTTCTCAAATGTTTAAAGTTTATTTCATTTAGACACAATAGATATGTACATTGCAGATTGCAGCCCATCATAGTTTGCAGAAAACTCGACATTTGCCACGAAACGAATGAGTTGTGTAAGCTTGGATACTTGGACAATCAATAAATACATTTTATTTTTAATCATTAATATGTTATATACTACACTGCCCAACAAACATAGAATAACAATTTTAATAAATCAATGTGCTGAAGATATAAAAAACAGATCTAAAAAACATCGCCTTGAATAAAGATAACAAATCAGCCAAATACAAATGAATATAATGTCTCACCTTCCTTTGAAGGGGAATAAAACATTAGAGTATTCTTTTAAGTAAAGTTTCAGTACTTGTTTTGGTTGGAAAGATATTGTATCGACAAAATGCCATCAGATTAACAAAAACACATTCTTCTTCTTATTCAATCGTGATGTTCCAGCTGAGAGAGCTGAAACCCTACTGAACTGAACTAAGTCTGTTTTAGGACTATGTCCTCTTCAGCCAGGGAAATTATTGCAGCTGCGGCAGGGACGTGTATATAATGAAAACGTTTAATAACGTCCCTACCGCTACATAAACCACAATTAACGTTACTCTGTCAGTCAGGCCGGCCTCCCCTCAACGGGATGAGTAGGCTACTGCAATATACTTATGCTACCTTTGGGGCCCCAAGGTATCAAGGCTGCAACCGTCCTTATCATAGGCTGCAGACCTATATGGATCTAATGGATATCGAGTGTAGTAAACTACTCTAGATTAAGCCATTGCCACAGGCCTATAACTCACCTTTTTGTTTAAAACCATTATTTTATGTCCAAAAATGTTGTTATTGAAATAGTTAAATCTATATTTCACGTTATTTTTCGAGTATTAGTTATGAATTTTCAAGTTACAGTTCGAATATACAAACCAATAACACAGCAGCCATCTTTGCCGCACTCGTCACTGTTTTGACAGCCTATGTACGGCGGCCTAGAGCACAGGCAGCACGTAGCGAAAACTGACAACAGCAACAGACTCTTCAGCGGTGACATCATCTGTAACACAACGCACACAGACATGAAATGTAACTGTGATAGTAGCATACTACTAAAGTGCCGGACTAATAGAGTCATGTCTCCAAGTTGGGTAGACCTTTCAGAACCATCGAAAAACATACGTAGCAAGAACACGCAACAAAAATACTTAAAACAAATATACAACGTTTAAAAACTGGCCCAGAAAATCCATACTTTCATACTATCATACAAAAATATTATGGTCTCTGTATGTGTATATGTGTGTTTATCTCTATAACGTAAAAATCACCGATCCGGCTGGGCAAAATGGAGCCATTGTTTTAAGGAAATGACAATTATGCGGTTGGTTTATTTAATCTAAAAATTTATCAAAGATCATTTATTCAAAACTATGTCAATGATTATAGAAATTAAATAAATATTCTAAAAGCGTTGCTGTATCAACTCAGGCTCTGCTTTCGATTTTTAAAGTGTCTTAAGTGTTATTAATTTGGAAACAGTAAGAAAATTACAATGTATACATGTTTTTTTTTTAAATATTGTTTAAAATTATATTAAATGAATCAAAGATTAAGTTAATTGTGGAAATACTAACGATGTTAGTAAACAATATTAATTATAAATATCTGTTTTTCTTTTTTCAAGTGGTTCCCTTGCTCTTTAATTATTTATACAAATATTTTAAGTCTCTCAAAGGCATTTGATTGACTTACAGCAACATAAATTTGTTATGTGAAATTGAAGGGAAGAAAATATGCAGCTGTGTCCAACCTTCACAAATGTTCATATTAACTGATATTATTAACTATTTGTATGAATTTGGAGGCTACTTTAAATAATTTCGAACTGCTTAACATGTGTTAGATTAACTTAACATAACTTGAACATCACATTGTTTTTTATATGTGTATTTAGGTAAATTTAGTTATTGTGTTTTGCTAAACCTATGCTTAAATTACACTAAAGAATTTCATCAATAACTAAATTGTACGTTGATTTTTGTGTTGTAAAATCTGTTGTATATGTGTAACTATATTTAATTAAAAAATAGTAATACAAAATACTCTTATTTTATCTTAACATAGCTTTCAGTTCACATTTACTTTATTTGATAGATTTATTATTTGTTTTTCCACTCCACTTATTAAATTAAACTAAGGAAAATAAAACTAAACAGTACACAGTAATCTTTTGTTTCTAAAATCAATGAAATGTCGGTTACTATGTTTACTTAATCGCAAGTGTGAAAATGTAAAGGCAATGGACGATGGAACTGATTAAAAGAACTGGTATACTAAGTTGTTTGTTGATATTTTTGTACAGTAGAATCAGAGATGCAATGAAACATATACTGTATTTGCTATTACATTTTTTTGTCCTTGATGCTTTGATAATCATATTAGTATTGTCTGCTGGCGTTAATGCTAAATTATATGTCATAGTATGGATATAGTTTCTTTAATATTTCAAAAGACTATTGATAAGGCACAACAATATTTCTAAAGTATATAACAGCTGACTTATTTATTTTGTTATTGTATGATTGTAAACCTTGTATTTTGTTGAATATAATAAAGCACTTTTTCATTTCATTTCAAAAGGATACACACAACAAGCAAAATTTCATCTTCTTCTGTGCATGCGTTTTGGTTTAAGTTTAAACATTCAAATAAATAATTTTACACTGTCAGTATGGAAATGTAAGTGTTTTAGTTGGATTGAAAGTATGAAAGGTGATGTGCTTGTATGTGTTCCTAGTATACCCACGCCCCTAAAGGTTGCTCGCTCATATAACTTGTACAATACACTACTTGCATTGAGTGTAGGCCTACACGTATATACTAAATGCTACTTTTTCAATGCACGTGTGTCACAGCACGATGTTTCCCGGAGTCCAATTTGTCTGAGCCACAACAATGTCTACCTGGGGAAGGCAACAACAGCTCCTCCTCACCCAAGTGCCAATAAACTCAAACTGATAAAATCTACTGAAATTGCACAGGAAAGCAACCCCCTGTCACCTGCCTTTAAAAGGATTTCCCTGTCTTCATTTTAGTCATTTTTAAATCGTTAAAATTAATTGAAAATATTAGACCGCACTTTACCAGCCCTACTAATCTAAGTAGACATGTTAAATAATGGTTTACAGAGGGCTCATTTATGCATCCCTACAGCACTCGGTGTTAAAACTCGTCATTTACTATGAACCTTTTAGAAAATCTGTGTTTAAATCAAGTGTTAGAACTTGTACCAGTAGTCTTTATCCCACGGAGAATCCAAATACTGTAATAGATTTTTAATTTAAATATTTTAAATTAAAAATAAATTAGCTGACGACAGTTTATTGTGATTTAACTATACAAATATTATAGATATTTCACCATTCAAATGTAAATGTTTAGATAATGTTGTGTATAGTTTAAAACATTCCAATCACCTTTCACAAACCCCAACCAAAATACATTGTAACAAAATGTCCAATTGGTGAAGAACATTGAAAGCATTTATATAAATAAAACAACCTGAAACATGGTAAACGAGTAATGATCTCCAGATAAATATGAGGTAAAGTAGGCGTTGATTTGACGTAAATGTCCACAGCTACTCGACTTACCTTGGTCCGAAGTTACTGATAATGTAGTGAGAGGACGTGCGGGCTTAACACTAGTTATATACAGTAGGTCAATAATTATACTTGTACTTTGTACCTGCATGACTGTAGGGTGGTGGGTCGTTGTCCTATCAGGGAGAAGCAATATACGTAATCACTTTCATTCATAATGGTTGATTGTTATACAATTATTTGTCTGTACATTGCAAGCACAAAGTGGTAAAATTTAATGTTTTGATCATTTAAAGATCGCGCCAATCATCCTACACTCATCTCCATTCATACTTGGCTTATAATACCTACTTTGTATGGTCGTCATTTCATTGAAATGTAAAATGTCAATAATTGATTTATTCTAGAAACGATACAAATTGTTACACATATACCACTCGTCCACCTTTTCAATCGAGTTGTTTTTGCAGAACTCAATACAAATTATGCTAATCTATATATATAAAATCCAATGTATGTATGTATGTTTGTTTGTCCTTTATGGACTCCGAAACCGACAGATTGAAATGAAACTTTCAGGCATTATTAAGCATTATTTAAGGATGGTTTGTGTGAAGTTTTTTACAGATCCGTCAAAAGCGCTCCGCCCCAGTGGCTCTGGAGTTTCCCATGTTAACCTTATGAGTACTCATTTTTAAACGGAATTAATTCATCTTGACAGCTGGTTCAACTAAACAATTTCATTCTGTGATGTTCAATAGCATTAAAAAGTTAATAGGTTCACCAACAGGGTGCAGCACTATTATTTTTTTTAATTTATGATAACAGCTAATTTGGAACCCAAAGGTGAGTAAGCGTAGCGAACGAGCTAACCTGAAGGCGAGTGAGCGCAGCGAAAGAGCTCCAACCTAAAGTTTAATAAGCGTAGTAACTTCAACCAGAACGTCATTGAGCCATGCGAACGAGCTCATCTTGAAAATGAACGAGCATTGTATAAAACCACATTAGGACAGGACGACGTCTATCGGGCCAGCTAGTAGGTAGGCCTATTATAAAATCAAAAGAATGTTACTAAATCAACATACAAAATACGATAGTGCTTATAAATTACTGTCAAGGATATAAAACATAATGTTTCCTAATACAATTACATGTGAAGCCATTTCATTGGTGGTGGCTAAGTTGGACGTCGTCTTTGTTTACTCCAGTGTTTACAAAGACACACTGGATGTAGTCATGTTTACACAATACTTCATGGCGATTTATACTTTAGCACAAATTACAGCTACTCTATTGAAAACGAGATACACCAATAATGTTTTGTTTACCAAGAACTTCAATTGCATATACAAATATTATTTTAATGATAAAGCAAGCTAAGATTTGAGTCCATGAGTCTATGTCCATGTCTTTTGTCTAAGCACAAAGTGCCTATGCTTTAAAACATGATGGTGTTTTGATCACTCTAGTATATTTAATGAATTCTCCGTAAGAGCGAAACAATGTTATCTCATGTTTTTAGATTGTTTCGTTTTCTTGATAGAAAATGTGGAGAAGGGTGGTCATATTTACTTATACAGTGAATATGACCACCCTTGTCCATATTTGATTTATTTTCCGTTTAAAAACATTTTAACTTTAATTGAGTGAAAAATGTGAAACATTACTACACTTTATTCAAATGAGATCTGCACGACCCAGTCGCCTTTTTAAGATATACTAAAATCCTTTATTGATTTTAATCTATACGCCAAATTAAAATAAATCTTTAAAGGCTATGTAAACAAAGTTAATGAAGTAGGCCTATTGCCAATGAATTCATACAGCATTCATAAACACAAATCGTGTAGCTCGTTAAATTTGTAAAAGCGATAACGTATAGAGTCCATTTAAAGTAATTATGGACATAATTCTCACTGAACCTCCACATCTTTTTAGTGATAAGAGCGAGGTGGGAGAGCGCGACTTTGGTGATAACACGTGTGAAAGAATCAGCAGTAAACAATTGGCAAAAAGAAAACACTAACTACTCATCCAACGTCGTGTTTATCGTGACCTTCCCGTGACCCCTGGAGAACGCGGATGCGTGGTTTGTCCAAACATTTCACAATATCTGATTTACATCTCGTTTGTAATTCGGTTACAGAAAGTCAAACCACCGTCACATGTGTACTGAACTTGTTTTCAGCTTTTATTGATATAAGTATACATTCAACTGACATGTTAGATCTTTAATACTTAATCTGTGATGTATCAGAGGTCTACACCCACCAGGGGCCCTATTTTAGAAATGGTTGACAGTTGAGTCAATCGTCAACACTCAACTCAACCAACAAAAGGGTTTGATATTTTTGAAATCCAACAGTTGAGAAGTGAGTTGTTAGCCACTATGAAAGCGGCAACACCGCACAAAATACAGATGACATAATTTAGAACCAATCACAGTGCAGGGTGA